ATATAATTTTAAAGACTTGAGATATACATTTAGATCTAAGATTTAAAGATAAATGTTTAGATTTGGATTTAACATTTATAATTGGCATTTTCCACGAAATGTGAGAAAAGTTCACTAAATGTGAAAAAAGTCTGGTAATTTATTTTCCCGTTGAATTTTTACATTCAGTACCCTATAGATTGTTTGGATGGATGAATCCTCATCATGCAGCTGAACAGACAGAGGAGCTGTTGGTAGTTACCTGCTATATGTAGCTTTTTGACTGGCTACTGTGTGATGTCACAGTAACCCTTCCATTTAAATCACATTGAACTCATTTCTGGTGTCTTCAAGTCTAAAACATTACTAACTATAAAAATATAGAGAAGTATGGCATTTTCAGCTTTTAACGAAAAGCCTCTGCCAGGAATATGAACTTCTGTTTGAATAATTGTGTCATCTGAAAGTGACAATATTATAAATTTCAGATGTTTCCGAGACTGGTTTAAGACAATACCTTTCGCCTCTCACTGAGTCATTGACTCATCAGTCTTGTCATAATTGTGTTCGGTTTCTTTCTGTGAAAAGATCTCATGAAGAGAAGACTGAACATGACTCACTGCTGGTCTGAATTCCTTCCCTGAGTGATAACACCACTGAACTCCACTTCTCTGCGAGCATCCACCTGAAACCAGTGGTCCTTTTCTTCAGGCTCTGCACACCAGGCACCACCGTAAAGGTCGTTCTCATTCTCAGAGCTCTGCACACATCAACTTATAATTCTGTACAATCACATTTCACAAATCTTACTAACTGATTTCCATGTCACTGAGCTAAGAAAGTATTTGATACACAAGCAAACATGATTTAGTTATTGCGAATTGATTGTAAGCACAGCAGTAAGATGGTTCGTGAAGTTTTGCACTCATCTCAGTTAAGATGTGGCTAACTCCTCTTTACAGAAACTCTCCAAATTCTTTCTGTTCTTTCTTTCAAATCTTTCTGTTTCTGAACTGGAGCTTGACATCTTGAAGCTATAACTTCCTTCACAGCTTGTCAGAAAGATGAGGTCTGTAAACTGGCTTCGACCACTCCATGACCAAAATGTGACAATCCTCTGTTACCCTGGTGGTGTTTTTGGGTCATTAGTTTTCCATCTTCAGTGCTCTGGTTCATGGAGGAGGGCTCTCATCCAGTACCTTTACACTACATGGTTCCTCAGTGCAGTGAAGTCATCTTGTACCTTAAATGGAAAGCAGTACTGAAACAAAATGTTTTCATCTTCATGTTTGACTGTAGGGATGGTGTTCTTCAGGTCCTGCAGAATTTCTGTTCCTCCTAACACAACAGATGAAGCTGAAGTTAAAGCCTGATTTTGGTCTCAGCAGACCTCAAAATTTTCTCCAGTCCTGTCTGAATCATTTAGATGTTTTCTGGTAAACTTAAGATGGACCTGTAGATGTGCCTCAGTGAGCATGAGGACCATGTGAGCAAAAAAATAAATAAGAAAAAATAAATATAAACGCAACGTAGTATGTAATCAGTGGTGGTCTTGTTGTCTGTGGACACAGTGTTACCAGTGGTGGTCTTGGTGTCTGTGGACACAGTGTTACCAGTGGTGGTCTTGTTGTCTGTGGACACAGTGTTACCAGTGGTGGTCTTGTTGTCTGTGGACACAGTGTTACCAG